CGGTTACCTCATAATCATTCATCCAAGTAGGCCTTCTTCTAACACGATGAGCAGATTGAGTTTCGTCTCCATTAGCTTCAGCAACTTGTGGTGAAAGTGTTGATTGTGCCCCTGTTTCTTCATTGACCGGCTGTGATGCTTCAACAACTGAGGGACTTGAAGTTTCTGAGTTTTCGACCACCACAGAACCAACACCATCATCATCATCATCGTAAACAACTTGTTTAGGTAGTTGTTCTTTCCAATCTCAAGTGTTGTTTTCGTCAAATACATATATAGTATTCACGATGTTTTTGGATAGTGGATTGAATAACTTGTAGGCTTTAGATGACTCACTTACACCAAGAAAAATGCATTTTTCAGCTTTATCATCAAGCTTCTTTCTCTTCTCATCAGGGACGTGAGCATAGGCGATGCAACCAAAATTTTTGAAGTGATCTACTGTTGGTTTTCTGCCACTCCAAGCCTCCTCCGGGGTCATATTTTGAACATAAAAAGTTGGACTCCTGTTCAGAATATGAATGCTCCAATTTACAGCTTCTGGCCATAATTGTTTTGGTACTTTCCCTTTGGTTTGCAGACTTCTTACCATGTTGAGGATGGTTCTGTTTTTCCTCTCTAAAACGCCATTTTATTGAGGCGTATAAGCTGTTGTGAGCTCCTTGCGAGTGCCATGGCTCTCACAAAAAGCTTTGAATTCATTCGAACAATACTTACCTCCACGATCTATTCGAATAGTCTTAATGAACTTTCCTCCTTCATTTTCAACTCGAACTTTGAAGCTTTTAAATATGGTAAAAGCTTCTGATTTTACCTGTAGAAAATAAACCCATGTTTTTCTTGAAAAATCATCAATGAAAGTAATTAAATACCGTTTTCCTCCGTTAGAAGATGGATTTATTGGACCACAAATGTCTGAGTGAACCAACTCCAATACATCCTTTGCTCTCCATGACTTGCCTCTTGGAAACTAAGAGCGATGTTGCTTGCCAACAACTCATTCTTCACACACTTCGAAGGGAGTTTCAATGTTTGGAAGGCCTGTCACCATGTTCTTTTGATGCAACGTCTTCAAGCCTCCAAAATTTAGGTGACCGTATCAGTATGCCACAACCATGAAGAGTTTTTTGCATCCGCCAACAAACACGATTGAATGCTTTCAAATTTTATAGGATACAACCTGTTAGAGCTCATGTGTACAGTTGCAATTGTTTTTCTCCTTGCAGGATCATATATTTCGCAAACTCCTTTATCAAGGATAATAACATATCCTTTTTCTTGTAACTGACAAGCACTTAACAAATTATTTTTCAGGCTTGGAACATACATTACATTAGAAATAGTCTCCACAATGCCATTATTGGTTTTGATGTTAATATCTCCTTTTCCCATCACAGCTATAGTTGATAAATCACCAAAACTAACAATCGACTGAAAACTTTCATCCAAATTTAAGAATGAAGACTTACTTCCACTCATGTGGTTGCTGCAGCCTGTATCCACGAACCAGGTTTCTGGCTCACTCTTCTTTCCTTCATGGACAACCATTAGCAAAGTTTTCGATTCCTTTGTTTCTTCCAAAAAATTTGAGGTCTCTTTTTTCATTTTGATATTAGGCAACTTGGTGTAACATACAGTCGCATGATGACCATACTGATGGCATCTAAGACATTCTACCTTAGATTTGTCATGGTCGGGCAGCCTAGTATAGCATTCAGAGGCGTAATGACCATACCGGTGACATCTAAGGCATTCTACCTTGGATTTTTCGTGATCACGATCTCTTCCTTTGCTGTTACTATCTCTGTTCACTTGACCTCCGCCTCTTGCTCTTCCTCGACCGCTGTCTCTTCCTCTTCCGTTAAAGTAGGAAGCAGTAGAAACTTTCAAGGCCTGTTCTTCTACGATAAAACGTCTCTTCAACTTCTGTTCATGAACCAGTAAGGAGCTTTGAAGCTTATCAAGGGACAACTCATCTGGATCATTGGATTCTTCAATGGAACACACCACATAGTCAAACTTGGATGTTAGGGAGCGCAATAATTTTTCAACAATGGTTGTATCGTTCATTTTTTCACCATGGATACGCATGTTGTTTGTAATACCCATGGCCCTTGCATAATAGTCGGTAACAGCTTCACCTTCCTGCATCTGTAAAACTTCAAAGTCTCTCCTTAATGCTTGGAGTTGCGCACGTTTAACTCTAGAAGAGTCCTGGTATTTTCTCTTCATTGAATCCCATATATCCTTGGAACTATCTTTGCTAAGAATAGTTTCTAGGATACATCGGTCAATGGCTTGAAATAAATAGTTCTTGGCTTTCAAGTCCTTCAGTTTCAAACCTTCCAGTTCCTTTTGCTGTGCTTCTATCAGAGCTGTTGCATCCCTTGGTGTTGCTACACCATGTTCAATGACCTGCTAATACTCTTTGGATCTCAGGAAGTTCTCCATGAGCATACTCCAATGGTCATAGTGACCATCAAAGCATGTAATCGATGGTTGCACATAGTTATCAGAGGCCATTTGATTGTTTGCCATTTGACTGTTGCTGCTGCTGCCTTCGTTGAAATTGAGACTGCCGTCTCTGGATCTGATACCATTGATAAAAAAACACAAGACTGACAGAAGAAATACAATTGATAGTGAAGAATATGTAGCTGCAAAATCCACTCTAATATCAAATACGCATAGGCCTTTTTAAATAGGCAAAAACAGTAACTGAAAGCTGAAAAACAGGACCCATAACAGTCACAAAACCCACTTCTCCACTTTCTCTTAAAATAAGGAAAAACCCTATGACCTGGTCATTTTAACTGCTTAAATTAAATAACAATTAATATCAACATACTCATGGTTTCGATATGTTATGGTTACACTCGATTGATCATGGTTTCAATAGGTTATGGTTACACAATCTCACAATTATCACAAGAGAAGAGAAGAGAGTGAAAACGAACGTGCAGGGAAAAAAGGGTTAATTATAATTAATTAAAATAAGATAACAATTAAAAAAATTACTTAATTACATTACTGCCCTTATTAATTTATTTATATTTAATATAAGTTAATTTATTAATTAAAAAAGTTTGAGGTTATTGGGTTGTTCTTGCGTTCTCGTAAATCACAGGGGTTCTCGTTTGAACCCTCCACCTATCTATACTACATATATAACCATTTAGGTCAATATCTTAATTACAACTTTTAAAGCATAAGTTACAATAATTTTATGCAACAAATTAAAAAAACTCTTAATTACAAACTACTATGCATAAGGTACAAGTTTTTTATGCTAAGGGTTTTCCCAAACACCAAATGGGAATCTTTCAAAAGTGTTTTTTCCTTCCTTATTTCTAAATTCCTATTTCTCTATATTCTCATATGCGCCAAAACATAAATGGATCATATAGAGATAGCTTTCTTCCTTCAGGGACCTCGAACAGGTTAACATGGTGGTTTTGATGTATCACCTCGAACAGATGTTCAATCTGCTCGAACAAATGGTTTCTTCTCTCACAGTCTTCAAAAGAGATTTCATGTATCAAACGATTTGATGTATCATAACCTCATCGATACATATCACTCCCTATTTCTGATATTTTAATTTMACGGGTTATTCGAAACCCTAGAGATTTCCATTTCAATTTGAAGGTATGCTCTTCAAAACCCTATTGATTTCGATTTCAATTTTGATTATGATTTCCATTTCCATTTTTAGAGGTGATTTTGATTTCCATTATAATTTTTCTCTTCAATTCATATGTTACGGTCCAAATGTTTTTCCATCATCTATAAGCGTGGTCCTGCTGCACTTGCAAGGTTGAAGGTTTACGAAGGGGTTCCCACTCCTTACAACAGGAAGAAGAGGATGGTTATCCCCGATGTTCTCAAGTTAGTCTATATCCTTTCTTTCAGCACTTTTATGCTATTTCTGGTTTTTTTTGAATTGGAATGCTTTATTGTTTGCTTGTTTAGTATGATGTGTAATTGCAATACTTTTGTCAATAAAAATGTAGGGTTTTGAGGCTTACAGTTGGACACAAGTATTGCTTGCTTGGCCAATTATCATCTGAGGTTGGCTGGAATCACTATGAAACCATCATGGTAAACATATGTGCCCCCTTATCGCTAGCTTTGTTATGGCATTTTCTTAGTGTCATGGGTTTTTCGACTTTATTGACGTTTCAAGGTTAGTGTTCCAAAAGAGATCACATTTTTTTACAACAAAAAGGACCAAACATAGATCTGTCGATTCATGTGTCCAAGGAAGAGTTCCGAAATCTTGGAGGCTATCTCATTGATGTGCAAAGGGTTAGTGTGGTATAAGTAGATTTCATTTTTTTCTTCTGTGAACATATGTGAGTCACCTTTGGTGTTGCAAGTTCTTTAATTCTCTTAGTATTATATCGTAGTTCAAAAATGACAAATTTATGCAATGAACGCTTCTTTAAAGGCTTAATTTCAYTGGGCTTATAAGGCACGTAAAGCGTTAAGTGGGCCAAAAAATAAAACGCCTTATTAATTAGTACTTTCACTACCAAAGTTACTACCAAGGTTGTTTATTTTTTATAGAAAAGTTATGTTTTCATATTGCATACTTATTAATTAGTACTTTCACTCATGATTTGTTTCTATTCTGGTTGAGGTGCTAATGCAATGGTTAATTTTGCATCTTCTAATTGGCTTGCAGATGATTTTGCATCTTCTAATTGGCTTCTAGGGTTTGCATTAAGMAAGGTAATTTGATTAAAGATAAAAGATGATGTGATTTTCATTGCCAATAAATAGAGTTGAGTCTATGAGGCTTCTGTGCTACCTGGGTGTGAGAGCTTTCAATCATAGGTAAAGAGTTAAAAATGGATGCCTAGGTCACAAGGAAGTTACTTAAATGTACTTGCTTTAATGTTTGTATCATACATGTTAACCGTTTTCATTGGATTTCTATTTCTGTTCCAACTGTACAAAATGGGTAATTGTTATTTCACTTTTTGCCGAGTTCCGTTCTATTTCTATTACAAAATGGGTAACTGTACAAAATAGAGTTCTGTTCTATTTTTATTACAGTTCCGTTTGATTCGAGACAGAACCATTGTCATTTTTTGAGTTTAAGATGTAGAAGATAAAGAGTAGCAATAATAGTTTAAAAATGTACCCTTTTCCTCCATATTTGGTAGATATTTAGTCCGAGAATTTGCATAGGTTAACAAACATCCATGAATATTATACCATTTATAACTATGATGAATCAAGATTTCAATTTTCTATAATGAATCAAGAAATGCAGCCCTACTTTCTGCTGCTATTTTTCGTCTTGTCCAGGTGGTAGAACTGTTCCCAGGTTCCAGGAACTAACACCTGAAAAGCTAGGAAAGGTAATTTTGATTCATGTTTTCTCCTTGCTTTTTTATACTATGGGAGCATAGATATACTGATGTGAATTCTGGTTATAAGGTTTGTGATGCTTGGTATGGTGTCCTTTGTTGGCAAGGCACAATAAACAATTACCGTATTGGTTTGCTTAGGTGCAAATGCGGCTAAGAGCTCTCAGCCGAATTATTGATTATTTATCAATAGATAAATCTTTTTATAAGCTGCAGAGAGTTGTTGTTGCTGCAGTGATTTTGAACAACTTATAATACCTAGATCAATACCGGTAATACTCAAAATAATAATCCAGTCATTGGCTGTGCTAAACCAAGGGAATATTGTGATTTGAAGGCTGATTTCTTATCTGTCCTTTTATTCCTTTCTTTCGTCTCTATCTGGTAGTGGTAAATTTCAGTATTTTCTGGATTGTATCATGGTGCACCAAGTTTTAATTTCAATAATCAACACAAGGAATACTTGCTTGGATCAAGTAAAAGAGGATTCTAGGACCAATGCTATATATTCCATCTAGGTACTTTTGCTTTGCCTCTTAGTATGCACTTCATCATATCCGTTGATCTAGAAGACTAGAACTAGGGAGAAACCTGCACATGAGGGTGACCTAATGGGGGTCTTCATCCTTTGACTATTTCATCCTGGAGATTTTAGGATTGTTGTTTCTGATCCCAACTACAGTTTCATTACAACAGCAGTTATGAGTTTTGTATGATGAACTGACATTCAACCCAACCATGTATTATAGAGAATCTTTTGAAGATGCTCTTAGTGAAGCTACCTCCAAAAAGACAATAAGTCTGAACAAAAAAAAAAAAACAAATAGGTCTGGTAGCTTTTTGTGGCTGTGTTTCTATACACTTGAAGGGAAAAAAATGCAAATAATTTTATCTAAGAGAGAAGGCATTTGGTACCACAAAAGATCGGATGCTTCATATTGAGCATTGTGCAAATTCAAGGGCTGTGACTGTATTTATTCGTAGGGGTAAGATATCATTCATGTTTCTTTTTATAGTTACGTGTATTTCTTTTTTACTTAGCATTATGGAGACAACAGTTTTGTCTTATTCATATCTAATTGTTCTCACAAAATCATTGAGCACTCTGGGAGTTTTCATGCTTCTTTGTGGCATTGAGTGCTTATGTTATAAAATATATAGTTTTGGGTAAACAAATCATATTTTTTTCTACGTGGCAGAAGATGCAACCACTAAGGATTTCTAGACCATAAACCTCATTAAGCTACAAATAAACACTAAACAGCCTCTAAGCACGTTCCATTGTAAGGATTAAAAAAGTTGAAATTTGTTGATTTGCAGATGATAGCATTCATCCATAGCATCATGATCACGACACCCCCATCTCCTTCTTCCCTTCCTGTTTCAGATCAAAAAATCGACGATTGTGCATAACCAGAACAGTATCAGCATAAGCTTGAAGTGTTCGTTTTTGTTTCTGTCTTTTTTTGTCGCATTGCTGGTGTAGTCTCCCCTTGATTTTGTACATATTTAAGGCCTCTCCAAATTCGACTGTTGCACTTGTATATTGTAGCGAAGGTAGATATATGAAACAAAATATTTATCGTGACGACAAGCACACTAACCGAAACTGAATAATTAAACCAAAGAAGTGATCAAACAATAGCGTGTTTTTGGTTACTCAAACTGAAAAAGCTTTGTTGTTTCTACTTCGGTTTTTGTTCGTTGTTAAGGCGGACGTGTCGACTCTTTTTTTCTATCCATGGTTTTCAGTTTTCCGAATTAAAGTTTGATTGGTAAGTTGGCATGAAGCAGCATAAAAACATGGTTTTTTGGTTGGTCGATCTAACTTTTGAGTTCGAGAAAATGACCGAA